TCTGATCAAAACAGTTGTAATCTAGCTAACTCGAGTCACCCCAAAAAAATTGGAACCTAATCCAAAAAAAAATTAATCCTGACCCAAATAGTTTGAAGCATTATTTACAATTATTTTAATTTTTTAATTTTATTTATTATTTATTTGTGGTTAATAAAAAAATAGGATTATTCAAACAATATTGAATATTTTTGTACTACTGTACGATTTTTTTGATTATTTTAAAGATAAGAGTGTGATAGTTAAAAGATAAAAGTGTGATATTAACCCCTGATCAGTCTTGCATTTCTTCGGCCGGTCTTAATTCTTCACATATAAATTACACTTAGACCCCACAAATAACAATATATAATTTTTTTATTTTCTAGTGAATATTGTGGTCCACAAATCACAAAAATATTATCTTCTCCCTTCACCCACTTTCCCGCTCAAACCATTTTTCACTTCTCTTGCTTGTCGTCCATCTCTTTTCCTGCCCAAATCATTTTTCATTTCTCTTACCTTCCCTCAATTTCTTTTACCGTACATCCCTTCTTTCTTTCACCATACAAAAGTATTTGTTTGGTTTAGAATTTGGTGTTAACATGATGAATTGAATTTTTATTTAATATAAATTTGATGAATTGAATATTAAATGTTATTAGATGAAATTGAATATTAATTTGGTGAATTGAATATTAATTTGGTATTGATTTGATGAATTAAATATTTATTGGATGAAATTGTATGTTACTTTGATATTGGTTTGTTAAATTAAACCTTTATTGGAGGATTTTTTATGCCAATTTGATAAATTGAGTGTTAATTTAATGAATTTAAATATAAATTAGATGAATTAAACGTTAATTTTGTGTTAATTTGATTAATTGAATATTAATTGGGATGTGATTGAATGTTAAGTTGATAAATAAAATGTTTATTAGATGAAATTGAATGTTGATTTGAAGAATTGAATGTTAATTTGTTATTTATTTGACAAATTAAATGTTTATTGGATGAAATTGTATGTTAATTTGTTAAATTGATTTTTTATTAGAGAATTTTTTATGTTAATTTTATGAATTGAATGATTTTGAATATAAATTGGATGAGATTGAATGTTATGTTGATGAATTAAATATTTATTAGTTGAATTTTAATGTTAGTTTAATGAATTAAATGTTTATTAGGTAAAATTAAAAATTGATTTGGAGAATTGAATGTTAATTTGATGTAAATTTGATAAATTGAATGTTAATTGGATGAAATTGCATGTTAATTTGATGTTGATTTGATAAATTAAATATTTATTGAATGATTTTGGATGTTAATTAACATTTAATCTCATCTAATTAAGATTCAATTCATTAAATTAACACTAAATTAATATTCAATTCATCCAATTTATATTCAAATTCATTCAATTAACACTTATTTTATAAAATTAACATCTAAAATCATTCAATAAATATTCAATTTATCAAATCAACATCAAAGTCACATACAATTTCATCCAATTAATACTCAATTCATCAAATTTATATTCAATTATTCAAATCAACATTTAGTTTTACCTAATAAACATTCAATTCATTAAACTAATATTAAAATTCAACTAATAAACATTTAATTCATCAATGTAACATTCAATCTCATCCAATTTATATACAAATTAACACCAAATTAACACAAAAATATTACTTGAAGGTGAAATATAAGGAACAAAATAAAAATATTGTTATACTTCAGGGGTGTAAGTGTAATTTACTTATGGATGAATTAAGATCGGCTGTTGGAATGGGCAACCGATATTGGCGTAATATTACACTTTAATCATTTGATTTTACACTTTTATCCTTTAATACTATATTGTTAACCTTTTGATATTACACTTTTAACCTTTTGATATTATAATTCATCAAATTAACATCAAAAATCATTCAATAAATATTCAATTTATCAAATTAATATCAAAGAAACATGCAATTTCATCTAATTAATACTCAATTCATCAAATTTATATCAAATTAATATTTAATTTTCAAATCAACATTTAATTTTACCTAATAAACATTTAATTCATTAAATTAACATTAAAATTCAACTAATAAATATTTAATTAATCAATATAACATTCAATCTCATCCAATTTATATTCAAATTCATTCAATTAGCATTCAATTCATAAAATTAACATCGAAAATCCTTTAATAAAGATTCAATTTAACAAATTAACACCAAAGTAACATGCAATTTGATCCAATAAATATTTAATTTTTTTAATAAATAACAAATTAATATTCAATTTCATCTAATAAATATTTAATTCATCAACTTAACATTCAATCACATCCAATTAATATTCAATTCATAAAATTAACACAAAATTAACATTTAATTTATATTCAAATTCATTAAATTAACACTCAATTTATCAAATTGGCATAAAAAAATCATCCAAGAAAGGTTCAATTTAACAATCCAACATCTAAGTAGCATACAATTTCATCCAATAAACATTTAATTTATCAAATGAATATCAAATTAATATTCAATTCAACAAATTAATATTTAATTTCATCTAATAAGATTTAATATTCAATTCATCAAATTTTTACCAAATAAACATTCAATTCATCATATTAACACCAAATTCTAAATCAAACAAATACTTTTATATGGTGAAAGGGAGATGACATGTCCGGTAAAAGAAATGGAGGAAAGGTAAGAGAAGTAAAAAATGGTTTGGACAAGAAAGTGGGTGGAGGGAGAATATAAGGTTTTTGTGATTTATGCACCATAATATTCACTAGAAAATAAAAAAATAATATATTATTATTTGTGGGGTTAAAGTGTAATTTATATGTGAAGTATTAAAACCGGCCGAAGAAATGCAAGATCGATCGGGGGGTTAATATCACACTTTTATTCTTTAACTATCACATTTTTATCTCCTAAATAATCAAAAAAATCTTACTATAGTCCAAAAATATTCAATATTTTTTAAATAGTCCCATTTTTTATTAACAACAAATAAATAATGAATAAAATCAAATAATTAAAAGAATTATAAATAATGCTTCAAACAATTTAGGTCATGATTATAACTTTTTGTAGATTGAGTTCCAATTTTTTGGGAGTGACTCGAATTAGCTAGATTACAAATATTTTGGTCAGATTTCAACTATTTTGGATTGAGTTATAAGTTTTTAGTATGAGGTTTAATTTTTTATGATTGAATTATATTTTTTTTGTGGTGGTTCTAATTTTTTTGGATAGAGTTTCAACTTTTATGCATTAGTTTATATTTTTGGCTCACGTATCAATTTTTTTAATTGAGTTATAATTTTTTGGGATTGGTTTTAATTGTTGGGTAGAAGTTCTAACTCTTTGGGTTTTAATTTTTGTTGGAGGTTTCAATTTTTTTTGAATTGAATTATAACTTTTTCATTAGGGGTTCCAACTTTTTTGGTAGGGGCTCCAACTTTTTTAGTCTGAGATTACAATTTTTTTGGGATGGGTTTCAACTTTTTTAAGTAGGTATTCCAATTTTTTAATAGAAGTTCCAATTTTATTGGCTGAGGTACAACTCTTTTGGGTTAAGTACAACTGTATTGGATGTGTTACAACTCTATTAGATTAGGTGCTGTTTTTTTTGAATAATCGATTTTATCGATTTTAAAAAGCTACGTGATACATATACGGCCTACCTTACTTTTCAAAATCGGACCAAAAAATAAATGGACGGTACAAGAGTATTACCCATAAATTCAGGCCAAATAATTGTTTTGATTGGGCAGTGTGGGCCCAGGAAAACCCATGAAATAGAAAAAGTAAAAATTTCCAATCAAATTCCAGTCGAACGATTTGTTGGAGCATGTACTCAGGTGTTGCTGTACATGTGCGCGTGAATTCAGGTATCAGCATAAAGAAGCTAACACGCCGTCCCCCTAATTTTAAGGCATGTCATATGGGGAGTACCAAGAAAATATTTAAGGGTTATCACGTGGTTATCCTCGTCATTATCGCCGTGATGTAATCGATCATTTATAAAATAATTATGATAATGATCAAAATAGTTTTGTGTAAAATCAATAATTGAATATGTCATAAAGTATAATTAATAAAATAATTAATTATATAAATATCGGGTCAACATGTAGATATATAGTGGTTCGATTCGGATGACCTACTCAACTCTAAAAAACTGCAAATGTGACAAGTGATTTTTTATTGATTAAGTAAGATGAACGAGAGAAAGAACAATGCTTAGCTCCGAGATGGATACAATAGCTAAAAGAGAGAAAAGTTATGTGTGAAGTGTATAGAAGAAACTTATAATTTATAGACACAGAACCTTAGTTGAGGTGGTGACGTAATGATATATGTACTATATATTCGGGGAGCTACAAAAGGTAAATACAATTAAAAGTTGTCATGGTCTTCGAGAATGAGTATCCCGATAAATTACTCCCCATGTACTTTAATCTTTCTGAACTCTTTGAACTCTGGACTGGGCCGAATCCATGAATTGGGTTTAACTCGCCTTATAACTGATTTGGGTTGAATTGAGTCTGATCTAGTTAAATCTGGATTTGTCAAATTATATATAAGATTATTAAAATTTTCTAAATTTTATAACTACAGGTAAGTTATACGTCTAAAATTATCACGTAAGATTAGTAGAATATAGTGCTATGAATATAACACTAAAAAAGTTTTTAATAAAATTCACTTATTATATTTATTTAGAGTAATGATATGCATTTTAAATTTACATCCCAAATCAAGAAAAACTATTAGATCAGTAAGTCTCATTTAAAAAAGTTGATGGGATCTATTGATCTCCTTAATTTGGGATATAAATTTAAGTTATAAATTTGAGATGCATAACACTACGAATTTATTTATTATAATTAATTATGACTAACAATAACGTGATATAACGGTTATATTGAATATTTACCGAGGACAGCCCATTCTCAGACAGTATAATGACCATCGTCATTTGAGCAAAACCTGACAAAGATCTGAGACGTCGAACGCGCATTTTGTCAAACATGCTGTGGACTGTGAAACACGCCATTATTATGAACTGGTACACATGAGCAGGTTTTAAATATGGAAAATGTGGGCCACCGAATTTAAACCCATCTCCATTTTTGACTGTGAAACAGTTTATACTTAGCATTCAGTGCTCTGTTCATACGCAGAGCGGAAAGGAAGAGAATGAACACAAAGACGACACTGTGGAAACCGAACATGTTAGTGTTGATTGATCGCAAAGCTCTGGTTTTCTGACCCTGCCAAGTAATGTTCTTTAAACCCCAACTATAATTTCTTCTCTCATATGTAAATTTTCACATATTAAATGTCTGTTGCTGTTTTAGAATTTTGAATGGTGACAATTGATCTTTGTTTGACGAAGATGGGTTTTATATTTGTGTGCAATTGAAACTGGTGATACAGTTTTAATGTTGCGAATCAATTTCTTTTTTTTTTCCCGACCACAATATTGCGAATCAAAGTCACTGTAAGAATTCGTCAATTTCAAGGAAATCAAATGCTTCATTTGATCCATCATTCGGCATACATAACCTTCACGAGCCTTCCTTCCAGATTTCAGACCCATTGGGGTTTACGCCGTTTTGCTCATTTAAAACAAAATTTCTCGAGCATAGGAACAGTATTTGAATTTATTTAGGGGGAAAAACCTATAAACAAATCAAAAATTGAAGAATATTCTAAAAATAAAGCTCATAAACAGAACAAAGATAGAAACAATGACCTTACATTTGGGTATGTGTATATCTGATGTTAACTTTTGTCCAAGAACTTGAGTTTTTATTTGAAAATCTAACTCAGAGTTGACATTACTCTTTACTAGATTTGAAGAACCCTGGGAGCAAGGGGACCAACCATTCACAAAAATTGAGAGTCATGAAGAAAAATTCTGATTCATTGCACAATTCGGGTACATATACAAGCCCAGGAACACCGGAACATGGGGATAACAACGTGGGCGGGATTCAAAAGGGTTGGCAGTCAGAAAGAGTACCTTTGCAGACAAATAGTAGCCGAAGGCATATTAGTGCTGCTGCCTTGATGCCATTCAATAGTGGAAGGGCTTTGCCTTCAAAATGGGATGATGCAGAGAGGTGGATAACTAGCCCGGTTTCAGCATTTGATGTTTGCAAAACTTCAGTCGTCCAACCTCAAAAGCGACCCAAGTCAAAGAGCGGCCCACTGGGGGCTTCGGGGGTTGCGTATTTCTCGAATTATTCACCTGCTGTGCCAGTGCTTGAAGGTGGGCGTGTGAGCAATTTGATGGTGGGTTCGCCATTTACAAATGGTGTACTGGTTGCTGATAACATGTCCGTTCATTATGGCGGTGGCGTTAGTGCTCAATCTAACCATGTACAAGCTAAGAATCGTATGGCCCAACCTAGTGTTGTCCCTGGATGGTCAGATTTGCTACTTGAAGCCTCGCTGGCCAGCTCCCACGGTACATCGTTCCTCCCTCAGCTTTTAGGCCTCATTTCAGTCTATTTCTTACCCTGATTCTTGATATTAAGTGGTTCTTGATATTAAGTAAATAAAGGGTCATGCGTTGACATAGCTGAAAAGGATCTCCTCAAATTCTTAATAAACTACCTGGCTCGAAAACTAGAAATCTGTGTAACGTTAACAGCATCATGTACACATCACAACTTACACTGTTTCATAGGATCCCAGTTTTGTATTGAATAGGTGTTAGCCAACATCGGGTTTATACAGTTATCATCTGCCCTTTAAGTTTCTCAATCTCTTCATAATATGTTATGCCCCCTATGACTCTCTTTTGTTCTGGCGAAATCGCCACTATGCAGGTTGTGTGACTCGAATCTATAAACTCAACTTAACAAAGCTTTTATCCCAACTATTTGGGGTCAGCTACATGAATCCTGTTTCCCCATTGCGCTTTATCAATGACCATATTTTTCATTAGACCATAAGTTATGGTATCATATTTTACTATTTCGTCCACAGTTATTTTAGGTCTGTCTCTATCTTTCACATTACTATCGATATGTATCAAATTACCAAATCTGTGAATGTATCATCTTCGACTTATTGGTGAAAACGAAGACAAGATTGGATGCATTGGAAACAATGAATGGAAGGGCAAGGATAAGAATGATCTGGTTTTCATTATTGCAGGAGCATGGGAAAAATGATCCACAAATTTGATAGAATTTGATAGAATCATCATGCTTTGCGTTGACGTGATAGAATTCATCTAGAAGAAACCAGAGATGCACCTGTAATAGAACAGTTATGTTTTTCAAAGTCCTTGAATTGAGCATTTGGAGATGATAACATGAGAACTTGAATTCTTATCTATAAAAAATCTAAGGAACAGTGCCAGTCCAATCTAACTGAAAATTGAGTTTAGTAGTATTAAGCAACTATTGTCAACCATAAAACAAAGGATCAAACATATGAGTTCCAATAATACTACTTGTACATAATTTGAGAACTTGATTTGGGAACCTTATGCATTGCTTCAACCATTGGATTGGTAATGGACCCCATAAATAATCCAATGGTAGCACTTCGTAGGTCTCCAAATTAAGTCTCAATAGCATCGCTTTATGATTTCATGTAATCCCAAGATTGCAGGAGAGTCAGTCCAATCCCTCAAAGTGATACCAATGCGTGGTTTACAGTTCGAGATATGTTATGAGATTGTTCCTATGGAGAATCAGAGTGAAAATCCTGTTGTATGAGTTGCATAATCTTCCCTCGAAACTCAATCGTGCTGCACAACTGCTGTTGTACTCCTGCAAGTAAAAAAGGGGAACCGAAATAGTTCTGGTGGAAATCATTGGCAATCTGAATATGTGCTTATCTCAATTGAGACAATCCTGTGCTAACATATTATGAAGTTATACCCATACGTCTTGGTAAAATTATGGTAGCCCACTAATAGAGTGTTGATTGACAAATAGAATACATTCTCAAATCATACACTTGAAACACAATGTTAGACAATGTTCCAGGTTCTTATCTCCATAACTGAGTAAATTTTTTTTGGCCTCAATGCATAAACTGGAGGTTGTGGCCATTTGATCCAATACTTCCATTTATAAACTGGAGGTTGTGGCCATTTGATCCAATACTTCCATTTGAACTATGTAGAGCTACTATCTAAGGCAGTGTGCAATTGTATCGCAGAGATTAAATAAGTACATTGTCTTTTTCCTGGCATTTGATGCATAAGTAGGTAACATTATACATACTCGTCACCTTGAGTTTTTTTTTACATACTTTTTTCTTGATTTCTTTAAATTACCATTATTAGAGGAGGTATTAGGAAAAATAAATTTTATAAAAAATACAATGGACTCCATTTCAATGTCCATGATTGTCGAAATCCCTAGAGTCTGTTTAGGTGTGCATTTTAAGACTCAAGAGAGTTGCAGTCACTTCTTGTCTCGCTTTGGGATCTTGTGAGTGATGCCGATGCAGTTAATGTGGTGAAAGTGGGAAGCTTCTTTTGTGTCCTTGGAGTGTGGGGAGAGAGCGATATAGAACATGTGGAGGGAGAAGAGAGACCTTTGTACTGACCAAAGCATGTCGTTTGGGTATCCTTTTTTTGCTGAGCAAGGTTATCCCATTTGGCTGATTCTTTCTGAAGTTTTAAAGATGGAGATATTGATTGTCTTAGCTTCCCTAGTGTGCATTTTGGTCACATAGATTGTAATTCCTTGGCTCTTCTAATGGATTTCTGTTAGATATCACAGAAAGGAAAACAATAGTAATGACTAATATTGTGATCAATACATTCACTGATGTCAGCTTATCACCGATTAATCTAATGTGCAGATGAGCAGCTTGATCGCACCAAGGATGCAGAAACCATGGTTTCCTGTGTTGTTTTGCGACGGGATAAGGCGACCCAGATGAGCCCTGAGGGCAGTACTCACTCATCTACCGAAGAAAAGTCTTTGTTCTCTACCTCTGCTCCTTCAATCCCTCTTGCACTGAGGCCTCATGGAAACCATTCTGCTAAAGTGGAAGTTAGGGATGTGCAGGTAGACAAAGGAGCCACAGTGACCTGCCTGTCTAGAAGACAAACTGTGAGAAAGACAAAAAAACTCTCACCAGATGTTGAGGACCTGGCTTCATCGTGGGAAATTGCAGAAGACGGAAAGAACACGTCAAAGTATGTTTTCATTTTTTTTGGCTCTACCTATTTATTTAATTTTCACTCAGAATTTGTGCCATTAGAATTCGAAAATCTATAATACTTTGGAAGGCCATTGCACAGCTCTGTATTTAGCAGGCTGTCCAACATTCAATAAAAGTATGCAAGAGAGATAATGCATGTATTATGAAATATGCATTCTCATCTTTGCAGGCTCCAAAGAGAAGAGGCCAAGATCACTGCATGGGAGAACTTGCAGAAGGCAAAAGCTGAGGCAGCAATTCGAAAACTTGAGGTCTGCCTAAACTTTACATAGTGTCTAATAAGCATCCAAATACTATTGGGACATCCCTAAGCTAAGTCAGGGAAGGAACCATGGTTTTTTTTTCCTCTTTCTTTTTTTTGGTTTGGTTTTGTGGGGGGAGGAGAGGTTGGACTGCCTCATCTTCAGGCCTTCTACTGACAAAACTATTGCTCAGGTGAAACTGGAAAAGAAGAGATCTGCATCAATGGATAAGATTTTGAACAAGCTGAGTGCTGCTCAGATTAAAGCTCAAGATATGAGAAGCTTTACATCAGAGAGTCATGCCAATCATGTTCCCCGGACTTCGCCCAAAGCTTTATTCATTCGTAAGTCTGTCAAGATGCGTCGCTTTGTGAGAAGTTTCTTGACATGTCATGCAGTTTAATTCTTGGCATATTCTTCTTCTGGTGCAATCCTTGTCACCAGGCAATTTTTAGTTCTTTCAAAATCTGCCAATCTTCTTGTTACGTTGGCTTCTTTTACTCATTGTGGGAAACTGGACTTGTTTCTGTAAGATGTCCAGAAGCAGATGTAATGAAAAACATAACAACTATAATGGGGTTCATTTTAATTTGTCCCCTCAAATATTTTGAAGTTAAAACTATTTTTTGGGTAGTGTTTTTAAATACAACTACATTAGCATCACGGTTTGTGTGTACTATGTTCCAATCTGAATGTTTTCCGATCAAGTGCTCGAGATCTTGAACAATTGGTCATGTTGTTCAAGCCACCCTGATATGATTGAGCAAGAACAACTGTTTGAGAGTCACTCTTAATGGCAACATAACTCCACCTCTTTTGCAGCCCAAGTAATGGCTTCTGTAATAAATGAGGTCTTTATAAGCGATATTAAAATGGGGTCTTTTGTACATAGGCCTCGTAAGTGCCGCCAATTTAGAATTAGGGATGACAGAGGATTGGGGCGGGAGAGAGAGAGGAGTAATTGTCACCCTGTGCCCACTAAAAAAATGGCCTGTCTATCCCCGATCCGTCCCCCATTAATTAGTGAAATTTTAGTCTCTGTCCCGACATGCAGATAAATTTTAATTTTCTATCCTAGTTTATTTTAATTTCTATAGATAATTCGTGAAGAATCTAAATCCTATTAAAAAATTACCAACTTAATTTGCTCTAAAAAATTAAAAATTTATCAAATATTAATAGATTTGACGGGACATATTATCCCCAATCAAAACAGAGAAGGTTTAGATAAACTATTGTTTTTCTCTCGGTTCATTGTCATCCTTATTTAAAACACTGTTGATCAGCTGTGACACTGAATCTTAGAGATCGTTCAACCCGGACCCGAAAGAGCGACCCTTTTTTTCTGTTCGGCAAGGCCCGATGTATTCATAAAGGACACAAGACAGCTGTAACCCAATCACAACACACTTTCATCAGCTGCATGTCACTGTTTGGCTCTGGCCTCCTTCCCCACCTGCTTTAACTGTACGAGTGGTTCGTACAGAGACAGACACCTACTACTTTCGGCCCGACATGAATGAAGGCAGATTAATTCTCAAAATTAACACTATCTGTTCAAATCAATAATAAACGATATAAGCTAATGTAAATAAAGAAATAGTTTGATCTTTTGTTGCAATAAATTTATTTAGTTTGGTTATTATATGGGCTTTTTGCATTATGCATCATAAAATATTTTTATTTTATACTCTAAAATATTAAATTTTTTACATTATAGTGTCAATATGTCAAAAGTATTAAAATGTGACTCTTCTTTTAATTTATATTATTTTTTTGTCAAAAGTTAACTCATTGAAATTGATAAAAAAAAACTAACATAATGGGTATATTGTAAAATTTTTTATGCATTGAGGGTATAATATAAAAAATTTAATTTTTGAGGATATAAAATAAAAATTTTAAAATCTTTTAGGGTATAAAACATAATTCACCCTTATTATAAATATCAAGTGGATTCTAATTTGTAAGAGTCCATTAGAGCATTTGTAGTAGTATTCTCCAAATCCTCTTTGATAAGAAATTAATATAGAGAATAAAATATTTTTATTAGTTCCAATATAGCTTTTATTCTAGTAGAAAAATAGCTTCTATAATAAAAGTATTTTATGAAACACGTACAAGTGCTATATATTATCAATGTGAACATAAACAGGTACAGTTATCAAATTTATAACCAAAACATGTCATATAATTTATCAAATACATCAAATTAAAATTATTTAATATTTAATACAAGTCTAAAATAACATAGACCTAAAAGAAACACACGTTGATTGCCACCTGTCTCTCTCTCTCCCCCATACACAGTTCAAAATCAAATGAAGGGAGAGAATCTAAGTAACAAACCTTTTTACCAAGGCAAAAGTCCCACAACTCTCCATGGCTTCTTTGCTCCTTGCCAAAAGCCTTCTCTTTCTTGGCTTTGTTCTCATCGTGTGCAATGCAAGTGTTCAAGCTCAGGTCGACGAGACCAGCATACAACTAATCACCGAAAGTCTCGACAGGCCACCGATGATCTCATCATACGACGGAGAGTTTGGAGCCGAAGACGACGACGATGACGACGGAGACATAGACGGTGTGGCCGAGCGGAGATGGCTGTTCTGGAGAACAATACGGTACTACATTTCGTACGGTGCACTCAGAGCTAATAGAATTCCATGCCCACCTCGCTCTGGTAGGTCATACTACACCCACAATTGTTTCAGAGCCAGAGGCCCGGCTAACCCCTATGCCAGAGGTTGCTCTGCAATCACTCGCTGCCGGAGATAAACCGCTATGGTTAGGGTTTGCTTAGAGGATCTTATCCCTGTGTGTGGGGGTGTGTGCATTTTATGGGTTTTGTTTACTGGGTATGTATTTTGTGTGTTTGCTTGATTGGTCTGGAAATCTTTCCAGATCTGTGTGTTACTGAATAAACTTGATAGTATCATCGCTTTGATGTTTTAGTTTGCTATTTACATGAATGTGTATATGGACAAAACGAAGCAAACTAATGCAGCAGGTGATGCCTTTTGAAATATTAGAGTAAATTATTGTAAAACTCCCCTTGAAATTTAATAAAATTTAGAAAACTACTGTAAAATGTTAAACTGGACTTAGGGATGTCAATTCATGTGGTGTTGTGTGTGACTCGTATTTTTGATGTCGTGTTATTGTTATTTCTGATGGGTCCGGCTCAGACTAGACCCGGTTTAGAATTACAGACTAAGTCGGGCTTAGAGGTTCAGTCTCCAGTGTATAGTGCCTCTTTCATGAGTCTTCATAACCTCGGTTTAACTGACGTTAATCTCGCACAAACAACTTCAGTCTCCAGAAATTCGGCTCGAAGCTGCAACTTTCTCGTGAGCCACCCATAACTCCTCCTCTACAGTACCATCGTGGCTATNGTCTCTCTCTCTCCCCCATACACAGTTCAAAATCAAATGAAGGGAGAGAATCTAAGTAACAAACCTTTTTACCAAGGCAAAAGTCCCACAACTCTCCATGGCTTCTTTGCTCCTTGCCAAAAGCCTTCTCTTTCTTGGCTTTGTTCTCATCGTGTGCAATGCAAGTGTTCAAGCTCAGGTCGACGAGACCAGCATACAACTAATCACCGAAAGTCTCGACAGGCCACCGATGATCTCATCATACGACGGAGAGTTTGGAGCCGAAGACGACGACGATGACGACGGAGACATAGACGGTGTGGCCGAGCGGAGATGGCTGTTCTGGAGAACAATACGGTACTACATTTCGTACGGTGCACTCAGAGCTAATAGAATTCCATGCCCACCTCGCTCTGGTAGGTCATACTACACCCACAATTGTTTCAGAGCCAGAGGCCCGGCTAACCCCTATGCCAGAGGTTGCTCTGCAATCACTCGCTGCCGGAGATAAACCGCTATGGTTAGGGTTTGCTTAGAGGATCTTATCCCTGTGTGTGGGGGTGTGTGCATTTTATGGGTTTTGTTTACTGGGTATGTATTTTGTGTGTTTGCTTGATTGGTCTGGAAATCTTTCCAGATCTGTGTGTTACTGAATAAACTTGATAGTATCATCGCTTTGATGTTTTAGTTTGCTATTTACATGAATGTGTATATGGACAAAACGAAGCAAACTAATGCAGCAGGTGATGCCTTTTGAAATATTAGAGTAAATTATTGTAAAACTCCCCTTGAAATTTAATAAAATTTAGAAAACTACTGTAAAATGTTAAACTGGACTTAGGGATGTCAATTCATGTGGTGTTGTGTGTGACTCGTATTTTTGATGTCGTGTTATTGTTATTTCTGATGGGTCCGGCTCAGACTAGACCCGGTTTAGAATTACAGACTAAGTCGGGCTTAGAGGTTCAGTCTCCAGTGTATAGTGCCTCTTTCATGAGTCTTCATAACCTCGGTTTAACTGACGTTAATCTCGCACAAACAACTTCAGTCTCCAGAAATTCGGCTCGAAGCTGCAACTTTCTCGTGAGCCACCCATAACTCCTCCTCTACAGTCCCATCGTGGCTATTTCTTCCTCGTCAGAGTTTACTTTTTAAAGAGGACAAGGACAAGATTGTTTTTTACTGATGCCCTCTCTCCTAGATTTCATTGGGCTTGCGGAATGGGGGCATATTACTGGACCGGCCCAGATCAGATCCAATCTAAAATTACAGATCAAACCTACCTCAGAGGCCTAGTTTAGTAATATAGATCTGGGCCAAGTCACAAGTGTAACCTGGTCCAGATCAAGCATACTGTCTTGAAAAATCTAGTCTATTATTAGTGATGAATTTGAGATCTCCATCTTAAGAAGGAAATTAGGGTATGCATCACAAGCATCAACCATCTTGTTTGTTACGTCAACGTCACAAAGTCACCCACTTCCGTCACAAGGTTGACACCTTAGTCAGGGCTTCCCGCGACGGCACCTCTATCAAAGGCCACTTTGTGGCACTACTAAGACTATATTTTTCTATAAATAGTAGGTCTCACCTATATATAAAGGTCATCACACACATCTCCGCACATTACACTCTTGAGCAATAATATTCTCTAGCCACTGTAGTCCTTCCTAGTAGAGTAGGTCACCTAGATTGAATCTACTCAATTTTTGTGTTTGCATGTGTTGAGCCTTTTTCATTTCATCAATTGATTGATTTTGCATAAACTCACTTTTATGCATCATCAATTTGTGTCGTATTTATGTCAAGACTCACGAAAAAAAATATTTATTGTTTTCTAAATATTAAATATTAGTTTTAAATATTTATTATGCATATTTAATAATAATATCATGTCTAGAGTGGATAACGGTCAGAGTCGACACACCTACGTAACTGGTCATATATATAACCATAGGATGGCTTGAACCAAAGGAATGGGTGTGGGCTTGGTGTAGACAGTCTTATTTAGGGCTGTTAAGATTTGACACGACACAAATTAAGCGGGTTTGAGTGAGATCTTAACAGGTTTTGGTGAGATCTTAACAAGTTTTGGTGATAAACGAGTTGACACGTCAAACACGTTTAATAAATTGATCATGTTCGGGTGAGACCTATCAAACTGTTTATCACGTTTACCTGTTTAAATAAAATTAATATAATAATAAATTAATAATTATTTTAAAAAATTAGCAAAAAAAAAAAAGAAATAAAGAAATCAATAAAAAAAGGAAGTAAAGTAGTAATTCAAAAATA